TGGAAGAGGATAACAATAGTAAGAACAATAACGTAAAGTTCAATTTTACTGGAGAGACTCTTTTTCCCTTCCTTCCTTCCTTTTTCGAAACTTTGACGAGCATCTCGAAAGAAGTTGTCCGCTCTCATCCCGAGGGCGAATCGCGAATTTCCCCTCTTCTCCCCGTCGAGGAGACGGTGGATAATGCGTTGAAATCCCAGGGTGTACTTTTTTATTTTCCATCAGACGGCAGGCGAATAATAATAAACGCGGATGTTTCGAGTGTTATGCTCGGCAACAATCACGCAGAGATTCTATTTCGAGCAAACAACACGTTGTGAATTCGTTTTCGAGCTTAGCGACCTCCATCCGACACGGAAACTATTTTCCCCCTCCCCCTCTCTTTCTATCTTTTTCTTTCCTTTTTTATTTTTTATTTTATTTTATTTTATTTTATTTTTTTTTTATTTTTATTTTTAATGGATTTCGCGTGTTGATAGAAGGTTTTACTACGATCGTGAAATCGATTGAAATTGTTCGTTTAAGAATCTGATTCGTTCCGTTGATCGAGGACGAGGACGATTTTTTAAAAAAAATTGAGCGTTAATTCTCGTAATTATTATTAATCGCGTTAGGATTCTATATATTGCGCGTCTTCCCTAATTAACGCTAAAATTATCCGCTTGTTAGTAATCTATGTATCTATTTTATCTCAGTTAAACAGGGATTGTAATTAAAGCGATGTGTCGCGAGAATAAATAGGTACGGGTAATTACAAGTTTCTATCTCGATAAATTTACAATATTAATTTTGCCGAAAACATTTTCGCGTTTTCGATAATGATCGTAAAACAAAACAAAAAAAAAAAAAAAGAAGGAAAAAAATACGAAATCCGTCATTTTGACGGGTCAAATTTCGAATTTCCATTTCGAGTTTCTATTTATTGCAATTGAAATCGTCAATTGAACGCATCACGCATCCACGAATCATCTTATATTATAATAAACATATTTCGTCTCGGAGCGAATTTGTGCTTTCCAAAAAAAAAGAAAAAAAAAAAAAAATTTTGGTTGGAAAATTTGGTTGGAAGCGAAATTCGAATTTTTAGGAAAAGTCAAAAGCAACAACCAGTTTTCTAATCCGTGATGATACTCCAATTATACCAATGGAATCGCGTGGCTTAATAATCGAAAATTTCTAATTAGAAGGGAGCACGCGAGCTTTTAACGTTTAATTCGAGGGAAATCGGCGCCGACTGCTCGCAATTAACCCTCGTATTTATATCCACGAAAGGCGCACGTGCGACCACGTGTAAATGGAACGAATCCCCGATACCGATATTCCATTTGGAATCGCGTTTTTCCTTATCTCGCCCATTTTCTTCCCTTATTTCTCGAAGGAACTGAAAATGCCTCGGTCATTTCTCGTGCTTGAGTCGTTTAATTCCCCCTTGTGTGTATCACTTTTTGATCGAACACACAATTTCGATCGAGTAAATAAAGTATTAATCAAAATTCGGTTCGGATAAATTTCATTTTTCATCCAATGTTATAAATACGGCGATGCCCCACTTTTTGTTACGTAAACTCGATGTTATCGAGACTCGGAGAGTAATCTTAACGGGTTATGACGTAACTGTATTTATCACTTACGAGAAATTAACTCGTACTAGTTTTAGTTCACGGGCCAGTTCGCGTTTTAAAGCTTGCGCGAGAAATATAGAAATTTCTCAGTCACTTTGTGACCGATGAATTACGTAAATTAAAATTATCACAAGTGATTGTTACTTTTTTTTTTATATCAAACATTATTCCATTTCCATTTCGATAACTCCAAGTCTAATCCTCGATCGAATATCTTCTTATTCCACGTTTTAAGTTTTCTACCAACCCTTCCAATTCTTGCCTTGGAAAAGAAAAAAAAAAAAAAGAAATTTCCCTCGAAACAATAACCACTTATTGTCTATCGCGCAGCCACGTTACAGAAAATCGTCCGTCCAACGCGTTACACGGGGAAGAGGGCATTTTCGTGGAAATTGCTCGCGTTAATGTCTCCGTGAGGGGGGATAGATTTATCCATACCCATACCTCCTCCCACGCTCTTACGAAACGATTGGAAAACGGTGTCGTTCCAGGGTGAAATCTTTGATCTGAATGGCCTCTTGCATCCGGAGAGAACGAAACATAAGAACGAAACGTCCCGTCGTAACTCTCTTTCCGCGAATCGATGCGCCGTTCAAATTCCACCCTGTTCCTGACCCTCCCCCTCCCCTGATAATAAAGATAGGCATTCGCGTTTTTCCTCAGGGAAGAGATAAAACCAGAACTCTTTCTTTCACTGGAGATTCAGCCGCGATCCTACTCTTCCGGCTCGTTGCTTTTGGTGTCGGTCGAACGACGAAACGTCGCTTCTTCGTAGGACAGGGCGATAACATCTCGTTTCCCTTGCGTCAACATCGATCCAAGCTTTTCTCTATTTAAATCTTCCCCTCGAAACGCGACCAAGACACGGTTTGAAATTTCTCAAATTTCTCAAAGAGAACCGGCAAGAGAACTACACTCGCAAAGTGATGAACTGGAAACGGTCAAACGAGAAGTTGGCGCCCCGTAAAGGATCGGGCAACGTAACCGGTTTCGCGCCATTCCTGTTACAACCGATTCCGCGGCGCGAATATTCGGCTTCCCTTTTTGCCGAACTTAATGCAGGTCGGGGCGAGATATTAAATTATGCGGTCTTGTTCGCGTAAGGGGCGAGCCTTTACGATCCTCTCTCTCTCTCTTTCTCGCGTTCAGCGTGCCACCACCCCCACCGCATCGCCTTTATGACGCGACTTTCGCGATAACTGTAATGGCCACTCTCGCAACACGAAGCACGCCATTACCGTCACTCTATTTCACAGTTGATATCTCTCCGCCACGGCCACTCCCCCCACGAAGCGACCCCTTAAAGGAACCACCTTGACCCACCTTGCATCCTTGGCATCCTTGGGTGTGTATGTGTGTACCACCTATCGTATAGGGAATTCGATAAAAAGCATGCAGCTAGCTCTATTATTATTATTATTATTATTATTATTATTATTATTATTTTTATTATACCATAAAACGGTGATTTATTTTTAGACCGATACGAATGAGAGGATTGATGGTTCCTCCTGGGGCGGGACGGTGATGGTTTTTACCGCGATGGACGATTCGATTTTCCCTCGTTCGTTCGCTCACCGAAGAATAGATTTCTCTCGTTCACTCTGTTTCTTATTATGTACTGCCTTCGAGGTATAATTGTTCGTATCACGTCGTTTCCAACGTTGTTTCCAGGATAGCGATACGAAGAAATATTTTCTATTTAGGAACGGAGGCGGATACTTTTTATTTATCGGAATAACTCTTCTTCATGGTTACGAGAATTAATAGCGAATGTATTCTATTCCTCTTTATTGACTCTTTTCGAGAACCATTCGTTTGATTAAGTATCATCGCTTCACGAATAAATTAATTAAGCTCTTTGCGCTTAAGGTACGTAATGTATCAGAATATAAATGTTTTTGCGCGTTGATTTGTGCGCGAAATCATTTCAGTTGTGAGAAATTTATCGAACGATCTCGAGTTGTTGATTCGCGCTGTGTGATTTATACTGGATTAATAAGAGCGCAGTATTGATTCGCGAATAACTAGTCCCTTTATCTCTTCATCTTTAATATATATGAAATGTATAAAATCATTTTACGTTATCATTTCTCGCTCGAATTCGATCGAATGGGAAGGAACGATATAAATCTCGAGTTGTTGCTTCGATCGAGAGAAAAAGGCTTAACCCTTTGCCCAAGTGATTTATATTAGATTTGGTAATCTACGATTAATAAGAGCGCAATATTATTCGCGAATAATTAGTCCCTTTATCTCTTCATCACTTGGAGCGAGAAAAGATTCGATCGAGCGGGAAGGATCGATATAAATCTCGAGTTGTTGCTTCGGCCGAGAGAAAAAGGGTTAACGCTTGGCGCTCGAGAGCCGAGTGATTTATATTAAATCTCGTAATTAATAAGAGCGCAGTATTGATCAACTCTTTATCTCTTCATCTTTTCATTAGGAAATGTATAACATCATTTTAAGTTACCTCATTATTTTGATCTGGAAAGATTCGATCGGGAAGGATCGATATAAATCTCGAGTTGTGACTTTCTCTCGACCGAGAGCCAAAAGGTTAACCCTTCGCCCAAGTGATTTATATTAGATCTCGTAATCTACGATTAATAAGAGCGCAATATTATTCGCGAATCATTCGTCCCTTTATCTCTTCATCACTTGGACCGAGAAAGGATTCGATCGAGCGGCAAGGATCGATATAAATCGTGAGTTGGTGCTTCGAGAGAAAAAGGCTTAACTCTTTGCCCACGTGATTTACATTAGATTTGGTAATCTACGATTACTAAGAGCGCAATATTATTCGCGAATAATTAGTCCCTTTATCTCTTCATCACTTGGAGCGAGAAAAGATTCGATCGAGCGGGAAGGATCGATATAAATCTCGAGTTGTTGCTTCGGCCGAGAGAAAAAGGGTTAACGCTTGGCGCTCGAGAGCCGAGTGATTTATATTAAATCTCGTAATTAATAAGAGCGCAGTATTGATCAACTCTTTATCTCTTCATCTTTTCATTAGGAAATGTATAACATCATTTTAAGTTACCTCATTATTTTGATCTGGAAAGATTCGATCGGGAAGGATCGATATAAATCTCGAGTTGTGACTTTCTCTCGACCGAGAGCCAAAAGGTTAACCCTTCGCCCAAGTGATTTATATTAGATCTCGTAATCTACGATTAATAAGAGCGCAATATTATTCGCGAATAATTAGTCCCTTTATCTCTTCATCACTCCGAGAAAGGATTCGATCGAGAAGGATCGATACAAGTCGATAAAACTTTTGCAAACACCTAAAAAACTTCGACGACTTGGAGAGACAAAATTCTCCCTTCAATTCCCTTCAATTCTCTAACTCGTTCCCGTCTCTTTATTTTGCAGAGCGCGGCGCGGCGGAATCGAAGGGCTGACGAAGGGGCGTCCAGACTCTCGGCATCCAGACGCAAGATCGGAGAGGATCTTGATCGAGGATAAGAAGCAAACGGCGAGCTTGTCACATTTGGTGGACATTGACCGAATCTGTTGCCGTTTCCCGCGCGAAATTCCAAGCTTGCCCTCGCGTCTCGCGTTCGAGGGGGAACTCTGGACGAGAGGAGATGTCACGGAAGCGGTTCCACGGAGGAGACGACGCGTTCAAACCGCCAGACATTCGAAGATAGCGAAGGTTCGTCGAGGCCGCGGGGAAGCTCGGGCGTCGAGCTCGATTCCTCGATAAGAGGAGGTGATCGCGAAGATCGGCGATTCAGGCCGCGAGGGGACGAAGGGAGGATCCCCGGATCCCTTAACTCGGAGCAAAAGGACAGCCGGCTCGAATACGAGGAGGGGGCGAGAGGGAGCAGGGTTAAATTGCGGAAGAGCGATTCTTTTTTGAGAAGATTGGTGAGAAGCTCGAGGGACAATATCGCGGAAGGGTGCGAGAGATTGGTGAGGAATATCCAGAAGAGTCCTCTCCCCGTTCCGCGAGGAAATTGGAAATTGTTGTCGAGCGACGACAACGAGGAGAGGCCGATACCGCCTCTGAGGAGGAAAAAGTCGAGGAGGAATTCGGAGAACGATCGAATTTCGGGAATTTCGAGTAATCGCCCTCTGCCGCCTACCTGCACGATTC